GGACCACCTCGTTCGAACTCCGAGGTGTACATGACATGCCTCCCTTTGACGAGGCTGAACGTCAAGGGAGAAGCCTTTACATGGATGAACCATCCTCCATGTAAGGAAGTGTGTGTGCCTTAGAGGAGAGGATCAAATCCCTAAAGGGACCACCTTGTTCGAACTTCGAGGTGTACATCACATGCCTCCCTTTGACGAGGCTAAACGTCAAGGGAGAAGTCTTTGCATGGATGAACCATCCTCCATGTAAGAAAGCGTGGGCGCTTTAGAGGAGAGGATCTAGTCCCTAAAGAGACCACCTCGTTTGAACTTTGAGGCGTACATCACATGCTCCTCTTTTGACGAGGCTGAACATCGAGGGAGAAGTCTTTGCACAATCAATTATTACACATGGATTCACACAATCAAAATCAGACTATTCCCTTTTCACAAAAGGCTCAAGTTCTTCCTTTGTGGCATTATTGGTCTACGTTGATAGCATCATAATTGCAGGTTTTGATCTAATTGTTATTGATAAGTTAAAGTAATTCATTCATAGTCAATTTAAGCTAAAAGATCTTGGTCCTTTAAAGTATTTTCTTGGTTTGGAGATTGCCCGGTCAGCTACTGCTTTGTTCTTACTCCAACGTCATTATACTCTCTAGCTGCTTGAGGATTCTGGTTTCCTTGCTAGCAAACCAGCCTCTTGGCCTATGGATCCCAAAGCCAAACTCAGCTCCTTTGATGGTGAACTTCTCCCTGATGCTTCCTCCTACAGATGACGGTTGGTCGATTGTTATTCCTCACCATCTCACGACCAGATATAACCTTTGCTATCCATAACTCAGCCAATTTATCTCTTCTTCCATTCCTCTGCCAAGACCGAATACAAGTCTCTTGCTTCCACAGCCAGTGAACTTATTTGGCTCCATCAATTACTGGTTGATTTTCAAATATCACATGCTGGTCTAGTGGTTCTTTTTTGTGATAATTAGGCAGCAATCCATATCGCTACTTACCCTACGTTTCATGAATAAACAAAGCACATTGAGATAAATTGTCATTTCGTTCGAGATAAAGTCACCAACGGTTTCCTCAAGCTTCTTCCAGTTTGAACTACTCATGAACTTGCTGATGTGTTCACAAAAGCTCTACGATCTGCCTCTTTATTTCCTCTACTGTCCAAGATGGTGGTTCTTGACATTCACCGGCCATCTTGATTGGGAGTATTAGAAATTGATGTTAGTTAGTTAGATATTATACTTTGTCAGCTGTTATTTTGTTAAGTGTATCTATATAGTTGGGTTAGTTCATTGTAAACACCTGAGTTTCATTTTCATTTAATTCAATAAGATTTTTCCCGCCGTTCTCTCTCAATTCAATAGATTCGATTCAGCATGAGTTCAATCAATAATTTTTTTCAAGTATTTAGCTATTCTCAGCTCCACTCATGTACATCCCTATGAGGAGACTATTTTTCTCAATGCTAAAAGCCAAGTGAATGCCCCATGGCTCCATTAGTTTCAGGATAATTAAGCACCCATTAAAATCAATTGTCTAAATCTTCAAGTAGAGGCTCTAAGAATATTTAAACTGATAGATTTGAAAAACAATATATCAAAAATTGATGATCAATTCTTCAGGGACCATGAAGTGTATGGATGATGCATTTCATCTTGGGGCCCATCCCATAAGTACAATCTTTCAGAACCGAGATCTCTTCATCTAAGCCACTTCCACAACAGTTTAAAACTATAATTGTGCATAAGAGAGACAATATGAAGGCAAACCACAAACTGGTGTCGAGAGAGAATTTTTTTACTGTATTTGGGTAAGATCTAGAAACCTTCTCAAGGACAAACAGTAATGATAAATGAGTTGAGCAATCCAATGAACTTGGTTAATTATATGGGCATGCGCTTAGGATTCCATTCTACATTGAGTATGAGAACATAGTAGCACTATTAACAGATAAAACGGGCACTGCTATTGATAGACCTAGAGAGGTATCTATATTCGCCCCACAAACAACAAGTCAACCTTTAATTTGGTTGGATAACCCAATATTTCATGCCCCATAGTTTAGTGTCACTATTTTCATATAAATGGTCTTAGCATTTTTTGACACTGCAATAAATGTAGAATACTTTGCTTTACTTTCGCTGCTAGTACTTGCTTCTTTTCCATCCAACTGAAATGTTGATAAATGGAAAATTGCAGAAGATAACGATTTCAATGATTATAAAAAATCAGTCAGTCCTGCAGCATAATGACTCTCCTAAGCATCATATAAAATGTTTTCTTTCGCTAAAAGATAAAAGGTCCCACGTTGATTACTTTGAAAGCTTCTAAGTAAGATCATTGGCTTTTCCATCTAATTCCAAATAATTTAGGATGGAATCCGATGTTTTCTATCAAAATATCAATTTGATGTTTCCTCATTTGTTGCCCATGTTTCGTCATGTCAGTTGTTATAGTCAATTTATTGCGGAGCTAGAGACAGTTCTCTCGTAGCACCAAATGAAGGTTTTATTAATGGTTTGGCATTCATGCACTCGTACGCCTAATTAATCAAATCCATAAAAGGGATGGAATATCAACTTCTAGAGTTGTGGATCCGTTATAGTTAGCAATTTTAGCTCTTTTCATGGTGACAACTGATATCTTTGTTGGTATCAGTATTATATGTTCAAGCTAAAAGACGGGTCGATTCTTTTTATTTTTTAGTTAATAGTAAAAATTTAAGAAAGTTATATATATAGTGAGACATTAAAATACTTTTGATTTTTACTTTTTCTTGAACAAATTATGTGTTACTTTTTTTCTTTAGTATTGTTTAGTTTCATATAATTATTGATTCGGAAAAGAATGTTGTATAGCTTTTAAAAAAGGAGATCCATTGAAGTTAACAATTTTAGCTAAGGGCACAAAATGCGGGTTGATTATCTTTTCTTTGTTCGTTAATATTAAGAATACAAGAAAGTCATATGTAGTGACACATAAATACATGCTTTTGATTTTTGCGTATTGTTAAAGGAATCAATTACATAAAAATTCCATTTCAGTTTTGATTAGAAAATGCATAAAAGTCATAAATACATTATTTCGAAAATACATCTTTAGGTCTCCGCTTGTTGACCTCAAAATTAGATAGGACTATATAGCAAACAAATAAAAACTCCTCTTCCCATTCATGTGTATGTTACATCATTTACGTGCATGTTGCATCCATACTTAGATACCACGTTATACTGTACGTGGCCATAGCTCTGACATTGTGTGACGGTGTTGGAAACACTCTGACCGAAAAGCTTAGTTGTGTTAGTCCTATATGTCATAGGTATGTAGCCATCATAGGCTTAAGCATAGACCGAAAAGCAGCTATCATAGGTATGCCCATACTCTTGTACAGATTGAAAAGTTGATTTAGTGGCGTTGTTGCAAAGCTATCGATGCATGGTGTGCTCAGCCTTGGTGATGTCCATGGAAGAGGCCCACCATAGAAGATGCCAATCACCTCGAAAATGCATCACAATAAGAAGCGATGACGTTCCAAGCAAGGCATCTAAAAGCATGACCTCATCACCTCGGTGGGAATATGTGAAAGAGATGATGATGAAGCGGAAGGCTGATCTTGCATGGCCTCTTTCTTAGTTAGCTACCATGTTGTCTATCTCGTAAGTTGAGGTATAACAATAGTCCCCCAAATCCAAAGTTTGGCTATTCCTCTGAGGTGTTGGACTTTGCAAAAATATAAATAATAATTGTCTCATAGGGCGAGACATCTCGCTAAACGAGGCATATGTAGAGCAATCATCTTGTAAGGTGAGGTATCTCACTAAACGAGGAATTTTCAAATTTTTTGTTAACTAGGCAAGGACATACGAGTTGCTTCTTAGAGGTGGATACAAAGTACACGGTGTATTGATGAGGCTATTTATAGACTATTCGTGGCCATTAGAATATCCTTCAAGCATCTTCAGAATAGTGGTGATTTTCAGACAACATTTCAAATGAATAGATGTATCTATTGATATTGAAAATAAACATATGTTCCAATCGGTTACAAATGTTGGTTACGTTGGTTAGAGACGCGTGTTACAAAAAATAGACATTGGTTAGAGACGTTTGTTCCACAAATTGAAGTAGATTACGTCCAAAAAAATAAATTTCAATTACAGACGTCGATTACGTCTGTCATAGACGTGTGTTAGAGAAAAACATACATTAGTTAGAAACGTTTGCTACACAAATAAATGTAGGTCACATCCAAAAAAATTTCGCAAAAATATTTTAAAGACCATTAGAATATTTTAATCGGGCACCCAAAGAATTTAGTTAAACACAATTCGCCCCAGAAAATTTAAATAGAATACCTAAATAAATTTTTTACAAAATAATATGTGCAAGACAATGATTCAAACTCGGGTACCATACAGCAACATGTGCAGTTAATCAGAAACCAATGGTATTTAGGTCCTATCCCTTACTGAATTGGATGCCTTTCATGGCCCAAACCTTAAGGCGAAACTTGCACTATATAAATCGAACATTGTTCCACTCATTTTTCACTTTTTCTACGTGGGACAAATGTCAAACAATTTAATCAAATTCTTCACTTTATCATGTTTAAAGTGGATAATTTTGGATCAAATATTTCTTCCAATTTTTAATTATTTTTGATAAATTAATATATCATGTTAATCATCTGATTGAGTAGAGCTGGAATATTCTTGTTCCTATTAATTTTGAATCGTGTGTCCTACACAATTTTGAGCTCAAATTTGGCCAAAATTTCAAAATGTATAACCATTTCCAACAGAGAGAACTAATCACACTGATAAATTACCTTCCATCTTACTTGTTAATGGAACTTAGAATTAAGCTATTCTAAAGGCATTTAGCTCTTTAAAACATCTCATATAAGATGAAAGATTCAAAATCATTTTCCATAACCATTCGATACAAATTTATTTGATTCGACTGAATACCAAGAACTGAACATACGAATAATGCTGAAATTAGATAGAACAATTGTTAAACTTCAAGGTGTTGACACCAAGACGATATGTATTCAATTCTTGAAGCAAAGCACTCAAATCAGTGTAAGAAGATCCGTCTTCTTCAACAGCTTTTCTTGCCTGCTCTTTACATTCTTGAGCTCGTCTTCTCATTTCTGCACCTTCTTCTCCTTCCATGATTTTCCGAATCCCCAACGCTATGGCTTCCCTTTCTACGCCTTCACTAGCCACTCTCTTCCATTGCTTACTTCCAACAGAAACTCCAATTCTCAAAACTTCTGTCACCAATTTCTCATTGTAAAACTGCTCTGCAAAGACTGGCCATGTCACCATAGGCACCCCTGAACACACCCCTTCAAGCGTCGAATTCCATCCACAATGGGTTACAAAACCCCCTATTGCTTTGTTTTCAAGAATCAAAAGTTGGGGTGCCCACCCTCTAATGATCAGTCCTTTATCTTTTGTTCTTTCCTCAAATCCTTCTGGCAGCCAGTTTTCGTTTTCATCTTGGTTCTTGCCTTCTCTAACTACCCAAATGAATTTCTGCCCAGAGATTTCAAGACCCTTTGCAATTTCATATAATTGTTTAGCAGTAAAGGTTGCGATACTTCCAAAACAGATGTAAACTACAGAATTTGGTTCCTTGGAATTAAGCCATTCCAAGCATTCGTGTTCATCAATGGCGGATTCTTTTCCTCTCTGTGCTTTAAAATCTTCTCCTTCCTTATTGCATAGCAAAAGTGGGCCTATATGCCATGCATTTCTTCTCAAAACTTTCCTGTAATGATCGGCATAATCAGGTTCCAGCTCGTAGAAGCTGTTAAAAAGAACTCCATAGCTTCTGGTCTCTGATTCATATACTTTGGTCAACAACTTTGTTATTTCATTTACAATTTCTTCTCGAGCAAAATCAGGCACCTGTGTTCTTGTAAACTTCAGCTGATGTGGAAGATTGGGCAACACGAACTCCTCCGAATCAGAGGATACATTCTTGTAGGGCTTGTAGATCCTCATATGTTGTGAAGTACACAAAGCCAGAAAGCTTGTTCCATGGAAGAGCAATCTTGGGATATCAAATTTCGCTGCGGTATCAGTAGCCCAGGGAAAGAACATGTCTGCAACAAGACAATCTGGACGGAATTCTTCCAGGAGTTTTTCAACAGGTTCTTGAAGCAATTCCATGGATTTTACGAACTTGGGAAACATATCATCAGATTTTATTTGATCAGCACTCGTGATCCCATCAGGCAATCCGGATTCTTCCGGCGGAAATTTTATCACATGAATCCCAATATTGAACCCTGATTTCCTGGCATTTTCTACTGGTTCTACGAATCCAGGAGTGACAATCATAGTTGCCTGCACACCCCGAGAAGCGAAAAGCTTGGCCATTTCTAGGGTTGGAATCATATGGCCATGAGCCAAATAAGGGAAGAAGAAAACATGTAGCTGATTCATTGCAAAAAAACTATCAAACAGATTTTGGGATTTCTTAATTGGGGTGACCCAACTGTGCGTATATATAAGGAACTTGTTACATCATCTTGTAGAACAAGATATACACAGGAAAGAGAAAGACTTCGCCCATGTTTGGTTAAGCTAAAAAGTTGATTAATATTTAAATTAAAATTAATAATTAATTTTAACGACATATTTTTTGAGATCCATAACTTTTCATAACTTTTATTAAAATTTATTGTAAATCTGATTTTTATCTAAAATTCACGATATGATTTCGATTTTCAGGCATGTGACAGGATACAATTTATTCAAGATTTTGAATCTTATTTTTACAAACGGAGAAGATTTTGAATCTGGACGAAGTAGAAAAGAGACGTGTTAGACAGGAGAAAGTTACATGTAGCATAGTCAATTTTGGTAAGAACACTGAATAATTCAACCTAGATATATTTATTTATTATATTAAAAAATGAAAGAAAAAGTTAGTCAAATTTGATGTGAATGTTATATTATACAAATTATAGTCACAAAAATTCTAATTAAATAAACCAAACAGAATCGTTTGGCGATCTTTAACTTTATATAAACTTGTCGAGGTAAATATCAAATAAGAATAAAATTTGTCTTTTATATGGACTGCTTTTAAATTTATCTTGTAATAAAAAAACATATATTACATTTTAGGAGATCCATTATTGCTGACATATTATCTGTCGTCAATTGGGTATCAAAAAGTTCAATAATGCTACTCAGGAATTGGAAACATCAAATTTTTTTTTCTTAAACTGTTCAATGATATTGCGTCACGTGTTCCTCTATTTCTAAAATCCATCGTTGAAACTGTCACCGTAGCGTAACTCTCGAAAGTCATATGGAATTTATCAGGTATAGAAATACAACCTAATAAAAGGGAAAATTGCAGCCATTGTCCTACACTTTTGGGGGTCTTGGCAATTTAATCACAACCTTTTTTCTCAGCACGAGTATCATCAGTGTTTCATTGGTAGCCAACCACCTTACTAACATCCCATTTGATCCCCATTATAATGAGAATGCTCCAAAAAAAAAAAAAAAAAATCTGCCACCGTGGGACCCCATGTCCTTCACTGTCAGAGGAGGTGAATTTTGACTTTGGAATGTGTGAATGCAGAATAAAATTTCCATATTCCAAAATTACCTTTGAATTCTCTACTAATTATATGATTGATATTAACTTTATATCAAGGATTAAAGACTGAGGACCCAGTCAACACAAAGTCGGTTGGTCAAACTTTATATTGAACCATACATTGAACCACAATTTTTTTTCAAAAAATTTTAAACTCAAATTCTATTTCCTTTTTCGAAATTGTATCTTGCATTTTTATTTTCAGCAAAAATGGCTGCTGAGAAAAGTGTGAAGAAGAAGAAGAAAAAAAAGTAATAATAAAGAAAATTTCACTACGGATTGTTAACTTAAAATGGTTATATTTGTATCACGATTTTTATTAGTCACACTATAATTTTAAATATTTTTCTATTTAATAACATAATCCTAAATTAAATAATATAAATAATTACTCTTTTTGTTGGAGTAGCCAATTTCAACTTGTTGTTTTCTTGGAAAAGTCCAACTTCTCCATACACTCACCGTTTGTATATATGTTGCGGAGCGCATTATCAAATTCAGTTGTCACCCCAATTAAGAAATCCCAAAACCTGTTCGATAATTTTTGCAATGACTCGGCTACATTTTTTCTTCTTTCCATTAATGGCTCATGGCCATATGATTCCAACCCTGGAGATGGCCAAGCTTTTCTCTTCCAGGGGTGTGCAGACAACTGTAATTGCCACTTCTGGATTTGTAACACCAGTAGAAAATGCTAGGAAATCGGGATACAATATTGGGATTCATGTAATGAAATTTCCACCAGAGAACTCTGAATTGCCTGATGGAATCACGAGTCTTGATCAAATAAAATCAGATGATATGATTATCAATTTCACAAAAGCCTTGGAGTTGCTCCAGGAACCTTTGGAAAAACTCCTGGAAGAATATCATCCAGATTGTCTTGTTGCAGATATGTTCTTTCCATGGGCTACTGATGCTGCAGCCAAGTTTGACATCCCAAGACTGGTTTTCCATGGAACAAGTTTTCTATCTTTGTGTGTTTCAGAACACATGAGGATTTTCAACCCCTACAAGAATGTATCATCTGATTCTGAGGGGTTCGTCTTGCCAAATCTCCCCCATCCTCTCAAGTTTAAAAAGACACAGATTCCTAATTTTGGTGATGCAGGAATTGAAAATTATTTCACAAAGTTGTTAACCAAAATGAAAGAATCAGAGACCAGAAGCTATGGAGTTATTGTTAACAGCTTCTACGAGCTGGAACCTGATTATGCCGATCATTTTAGGAAAGTTCTGAAAAGAAATGCATGGCATATAGGCCCTCTTTTTTCATGCAATAAGGGAAGAGAAGATGATAAAGCACAGAGAGGAAAAGAATCTGCCATTGATAAACACGAATGCTTGGAATGGCTCAATTCCAAGGAACCAAATTCTGTAGTTTACATCTGTTTTGGAAGTATGGCAACCTTTACTTCAAAACAATTACATGAAATTGCAAAGGGCGTTGAAATCTCAGGCCAGAAATTCATTTGGGTTGTTCGGAAAGGAAAAGGCGAAGATCAAAGTGAAAACTGGCTGCCTGAAGGATTCGAGGAAAGAACAAAAGATAAAGGACTGATCATAAGAGGGTGGGCACCCCAACTTTTGATTCTTGAAAACAAAGCAATAGGGGCTTTTGTAACCCATTGTGGATGGAATTCGACGCTTGAAGGGGTGTGTTCAGGGGTGCCTATGGTGACATGGCCAGTCTTTGCAGAGCAGTTTTACAATGAGAAATTGGTGACAGAAGTTTTGAGAATTGGAGTTTCTGTAGGAAGTAAGCAATGGAAGAGAGCGGCTAGTGAAGGCGTAGAAAGGGAAGCCATAGCGTTGGGGATTCGGCAAATCATGGAAGGTGAAGAAGGTGCAGAAATGAGAAGACGAGCTCAAGAATATAAAGAGAAGGCAAGAATAGCTGTTGGAGAAGATGGATCTTCTTACACTAATTTGAGTGCTTTGCTTCAAGAACTAAATGCGTATCGTGATAGTGCCAGAGCTTAAAGTTTTCCAATTGTTCAATATAATTTTCAGCGTCATTTGAAAGTATCACTTACATCGATCAAAATAAATTCTTGACATTCCGTTCTCTTTATTTATTTAAAGAGTAATGTTATTCATCCCAGTTGGAATAAAAACACAGTCTATGTGTCTTTAAATGATAGGTTAAATGAAAGATAAAATTAAATGACTTATTTAATTTCTCCTATCATTTAATGTCACATTAACGCTACCTAAGCTGTGTTTTCATCTCCAGTGGGGATGAATAGCATTACTCTCATTTAAAAATCAAAGAAACTCGTTAGCTACAGCCTAATACTTGCTGATATTGGTACTTACCAAGTTTTATTTACAAGGAAGATTGAAGGTAATCAATTTTTTTGGGAATTTTGTTTCTACCGTCCTCAATCTCGTGCCCAGTACTCTGGGTCATTTCTAATAAGTTAATTATAAAAGAAGAAACAAATGAAGTGCTTTTTAACTTTTGCCAGACGTGGTTTTCCTTGTCATGGCAATGGGCTGAGCATTAAACTCACGAGCTTACGAGCCGAATCGGCTCATGGCTCGTTTGCTCGTGGGCGAGCTCGGCTCGGCCCACGAGCTCGTGAGCTCACGAGCCGATCCGCGAGCTTTTTGAATTTATTTATTTATTTTTTACTTTTTCAATTTTTTAAAAATTTTTCTTTAATTTTTCACAAGCCTACGAGCTGCTCGCGAGGAGGCTCAGCTAGTCGAGCTCACTTGCGGCTCGGCTCGGTTCAGGCTCAGACTCGTCATTTGATGAGCCCAAGCGGCTCGCGGCTCATGTTTTCACGAGCCAAGCCGACGAATTGCTCGACTCGTTTGCTATCTCTAAGTTGTCTACGTTTAGCATGCTGAATAAAATAGTGTTCTAAAAAAACGTTTAGATGAAAAGCAACGAAAAACATCCCACCTAGCTTTTTATTTATTTTATTTTTTCCGTCTAGGTGCACTTTTTCCCGCTTTAACATTTTTTTACACTTTTTTTTCTTTAACTATTAAATAATTTTTAGATTGATTTACAAAATTTAATTTTTTAAAAAATTTTAAAATAATATAAAATTAAGAAAATGTTTTTTTAAGCCTAGACAACTTGACATCCATGCTTTGCCGCGTTTTACATTTGTTAGAACACCGAATAAAACTAAAAGTAAAAATAAATAAAATTTTAATTTATGCTAAAAATTAATAAATATTGACTAGCTAATACCAAACAATGTAGCATTTTTTTCATATCTAAGAACCTATATTGTAAAAGTGTGATGTGCGAAGGTGACAAAATCAAGTTTCAATGTTTATTATGTTAAAAATAGTGTTGTTTTAGCCCCTTTTTTTTTCCCCCAAAAATGTATTTTGCAATAGTGTTATGAGGGAAAATGTGTGGTTAAAAAATAAAAATAAAAACTTTTGTTTTGCATGTAATATTATTTTATTAAAAAAACGTGTGAATGAAATGTGGTCAAATCACTATTTAAAAATGCATTTTGATGGAAAAATGAGACTCAAACAAGGATATAATAATGCATTATCCTATTTTTAATATACGAGGATTTTTCCTCTTGCCTCGTGTCTAAGCCCCACTTTTTTTCACATATCAGATTAATAAAAAAAATAGTATTATATATATAAACTCTTTTTATTAATTTCGACTTAAGGGTCTGTTGGACTCTCTTTAATTTATTTTACGATTTACTATTTGACTATTTTCAACAACACATTTATACAATAAAATATTCTACACATATAACAAATTTTTTTCCTACTTTTTAATCACACATTCTCTTAAAAATTATTCAAAGCTCTTTTTTTTTTTTTTTTACCAAAATTATTGTCAAACAGATACTAAGATTGAATATCAAATCTTAATATGATATCAAACCAAACAAGTTCAAACGAGAAATTCAATCATCTAAATCTTAAATGAGCATATGAATTTAAAAATTAGTGTGCTCAAATCTTAGGAACATATTAAGGACTTCCACTATATTTAACAAGGTTAACATGTCAAAATGAAATCTTAAATCTTAACCAAAATAAATTTTTTAACTTTTTTTCTCTTAATTTTGTCAAGCACACTTGATTCATATTAGAAAACACGGTATTTTAAGCCCCTGTTTGATAGCCATTGTTGACCCCAAAAAGATGTACATTTAACGTGGTCAACAAATTTCAAAGCCTCTCACATCAACGAATCCTTGTTCTTGCACACTTAGACAAGTCGGTAGCCACACGTGGCCTCCTCCAGTGGGGGTAGAGTTGGCCGCGCACACTCAGATGGTTAAGTCAGTTGAAAAAGTAAATATATAAGTGTGTGAGAGTTTTAAACATGAGCTTCCAGTATAAAAGGGGGTCAGCTTTGGGGAATAATAAATAAAATAGTGATATGATAAAGTTAAAGCTTGAGAGTCTAAACTTTCATTATCCTGAAAATGACATTAAGTGCGAACTTTTATAATAGAAGATGATGATTAAGAGTCGTTAAATGAGGGGACACGTGGCCTCATCCCCACAGTTGGGACCTCTTATGACAATCAATCATTCATAACCCATGTTGCATTTAATGTTGTGATGGCTTTGTAGCCCTTGACCACTTACACTGACTTGTTTCATTGAGTAGAACTGCAAATTCAGTGAGTTATCACATGACCCATTTGATACAAAATCTGTTATGAATATCTTCTCTAATACGCCTCTACATACCTCACCTCATCTATAGGGGGCTCAGGTCTCCATGGGGGTTTACCTAATGGGGGTTTGACCAAATTAAGGTTCGGCCAAATTGCCATATGACAGAATGATGTGGAGTGCGGGCTTACATTCACTTGTTGTGTAGCTGCCACTTGGCTATGTTTAGAGTTTTGTTGGAAGAGGCGAAACAATAGTCCCCCAAATCCATGTATGAATATTTATATAATGCTTAGACTTTGAATGTACAATATGAGTAAATTTTTGAAGTAGTTTGCGAACCTGATTTAATGCAATGCCCTTATATTTAGGCAAACCTTTTGGTGAAGATGGAGCCTGTGATAAGGCTGAACTGAGATTGGGTGAGGCCCTTTGCATAAGGAAGAGCCCCTTTGGGAAGAGACAGTCGTTGATAAAGTTGAATTAAATTTGGGTGAGGCCCTTTGCATAAGGGATAACCTATTCGAGAAGAGAGCCGCTGACAAGGGTAAATTGAACTTGGTCGACATCCTTTACAAAATGGAGAGCCCATTCGAGAAGAGGGAGCCATCGATAAAGCTGAACTAAACTTGGACGATGCCATTTGGATAAAAGAGATCCCTTTCAGGAAGAGACAGCCGTTGATAAGACTGAATTGAACTTGGGAGAGGCCCTTTGCATAAGGGAGAGCCCCTTTGGAAAGAGGCAGCCATTGGTAAGACTGAATTGATCTTGGGCTTGCCCTTTTCATAAGGGAGAGTCCCTTTGAGAAGAGGTAGTCAATGAAAAGGATGAACTGAACTTGGTTGATGCCCTTTGCATAAAGGAGAGCCCTTTCGGAAAGAGACGGTCGTTAATAAAGTTGAATTGAACTTAGGTCAATCCCTTTACATAAGGGAGAGCCCCTACAGTAATAAACAGCCGCTGATAAGGCTGAATTGAACTTGGGCTAGGCCCTTTGCATAAGGAGAGCCCATTTGGGAATAGACAACCATTGATAAGGCTAAATTGAACTTGGTCAAGACCCTTTGCGTAAGGGAGAACCCATTCGGAAGGAGGTAATCATTGATAAAGTTGAATTAAACTTGGTTGAAGCCTTTTACAAGGGGGTAGCTTCCCATGCAAAAGCTTTCTTCATGGTGTTTGATCAATCCATGGAATGGGGTTAATCCTCTAAGGCAACAAGTTGTGGCTCTTTGTAGGATGCATCACACTTGTTCTTGATGAGACTATTTTACCTCCTTGCAAGATGAAAACTCTTCTTTGCAAGGGCTTCCTCCATGGTGTTTGATCTATCAATGGAAGGAGTTTTATATAGTCGAGCACTGATACATAGCCAAGATGAAGCCTTGCAGGGTAGAGGCACTGATGCATAGGCGAGATGAGGCATTGCATAGCGAAGGTACTCATGCATAGGTAGGATGAGGCCTTACATTGCGGAGTCCCATGTTTCAGGGATAGGGCATATTAATTCATCAAGTATGATATCTTTTTCAGAGGTCCTTCCTTCTTCAAGGACCTTCCTTCTTCATGAGTTATTATTCATAGATTCTTCTTTAGAAGCTTCCATTTTTCAAGGGTGTTGAAGGCATTCATGCATAGGTGAGATGAGGCCTCCAGACTTAGGAAAATTGTAGTTTTAAAGATGGTCTTATACTTCATGGATGAAGCCTTGTAATTCTTCAAATACGACCCTTTCTTTAAGGGTCTTCCCTTCTTCAAGGGTTATTCCCTTCATAGTCTCTTTAGGAGCTTCCATTTTTCAGGAGTTTGTTATGCTTGACATCTTCATCTGCCACCCTTTTTTGGGGGTCTTTATTTCATGGGGGATGCGTTGATGTATAGATGAAGCTAAAAATTGCCTTCAAGTCCCTCAATAATTTCATGATCAGGTCCCTTAACTTTTCATCTTCTACATTTTGATCCCCATATTTTAAATTTTATTATTATTTTATTATTTCATAAATTGCATCTAACTTCAATTTTTGGCATTCCTACAATTTAGTCTCCAAGTTCACTTTTTTGTTTGCTTTTAGTCATTTTCTCTTCTTTTGAGTTGTTATTTGAGGATTTTTACTTATCACATATGTGAGGTACCTATGCATAGGCTAGGAAGAGGTGTTGCATGTCGGAAGCGCTATTGAATAGGCCAATATGGGGTCTCTATACTTGAAAATATATGTAGAGTTGGAGTATTTTTTTCAAGGATGAAGCCACTGAAAATAAATGAAGCATTTGTGTAGATGTGAAGTCCCATGTTTTACGAATGAGACCTCTTAATTCTTCAAACTTGTCCCCTTCTTGAAGGGTTCTCCTTTATAGTCTCTTCTTCAAAGGCCTCCCATTTTTCAGGGATTATTTGATTAATGGCTCCTTTTCAGGGGACCCCCCTTTTTAGGAGTTCTTTCGCTTACGACTTTCTTTTTCTTAGGCCTCCTTATTTATAAGGGTTATGCGTATTCTATTACATTTAAAGGAGTTGTTGCATTAGGGTGGCTTTGGTCCAGATGACCTCTTCTTCATAGACCTCTTTTGATATTGGGTGTCTATCTTTATCATTAGCACTTATTGTGGGTGGAAATTTCTTTTATTTGAGTGGATTCTATATTCAACATACGCATTTTTCAAATAGTGAACACCTAAGATGTTGAGTTGAACTTCATATCTTCTATGTTTCGGGCTTCCACTTGCTCTTTATTCAAGAACAAAATATTTTTTAAAGGGAGACCTATTCATTGCTTGAATACATGGTGAGAATGCACATCTTTTATTCAAAAAAGGGTTTTTCTAAGTGGATCTTAGACTCGCATGTCCATAAATTGCGTTGAGCTTAGAATTTTCTTTACCTTCAGGAGCTTATACTTGTTATTTCTTCAAGAATAAAACATTTTTCAAGGGGGAAGCCTATGCACTCTTTGTATGCTTTTTCCACGGGATGTTTTTGGTTATAGTGTGGTTTCCTATAGACGACACCAATCTGTTAACTCCAAAAAATGTACCTTCAACATGGCCAACAGATCCAAAAGCCTCTTACGTCCATGCAAGCCTTGTTCTCACACTCTTAGACAAACCGTTAGCCACATGTGGACTGCTTTAGTGAGGATGGAGTTGGCCGTGCGCACTGCGACGACAAATCAGTTGGGGAAGTAAATATATGAATATGAGAGAGCTTTAGACGTAAGCCTCCAGTATAAGAAGATAGTCGACTTTTGGGAATAATAAATAGAACAACGATATAGCAAAGTTATAGATTGAGAGTCTAAACTTGTATTACCCTAAAAATGAAACTAAGTGTGATTTTTTATAGTAAAAAAAATGATGATTAAGAGTTGTTAGATGAAGGGACACGTGGCCTTATCTCCACAGCTGAACCTCTTGTTATAGCCATCAATCAATAATTTTTGGGCTATGCTGTATTTAATGTTGTGACGGCTTGACAGCCCTAAACCTGACATGTAAAACTAAATTTGACTTATTTGATTGAGTAGAACCGCCTATTCAGTAAGTGTTACATCGCCCACTTGATACAAGATCTAGTATGAAGATCTTCTCTAATACTCTTCTACCTACCTCATCTCATTCATGGGGGCTCAGCTCTCCATGGGGGTTTGCCCAATAAAGGTTCGGTCAAATTGCCACATGGGTAGAATGATGTGGAGTGCGGGCATAGATTCGATTGCTGTGTAGTTGCCACTTGACCATGTTTAGAATTTCGTTGAAAGAGGCATAACAACTATTATAAAGAGAAATTGAGGAAAAATGATGCTTTAAATAATGATTTTTTTTAAGAATATATAATTGAAAATGAGTATGAAAAATAATACGTTTTATTTTAATGGGAGTCAAATAGGGGCCGTCAAGTCATATGACAAAGTTGAAGACTTGAATTGTAAGTATCCCCTCGTACTTGTGACTTCAGCCATGACGAAAAAACGATTTGAATTTTAGCAAGCAATAATTTGACAGTGGTTCACGTAAAGAAACTGTCCATTTGTTTTGTATTTTTTTATTTTTTTTTGGGGAAAAGTAGTCACGTAACTAGAAACTTAAAAAGGGTTTCATTAAAATGAGTTTGATCTTTCTTTAAAAGCAAGTTTGATTTAATTGGTCTTTTATGTGAAGTCTTCAAAGCAAATTCGTTGACAATTTTGATCTTATGTTACTGTAGATATTAATTAAAACTTACAAAAAAAGAACACAATTAGCTTAGTCAACAATCGAATTGAAGCAAAATAATATTTAAAAGATACAAGATCGATATACTCCTCTTAATGAGATAATATTTTATGATGGAATTTCAATACTCAATGTGGTATCTATTTACCCTAATATAGAGCCAAACAAATCACAAAAGATTAATCGGAAATAAAAAATGGAACACACGATTTTAGGTATAGAAGTTTGACAAGAATGCTTACATCCCCGTTGATCTCTGAGTCATGGAAGGAGAAGAAGGCGCCGATTGAGAAAACGAGCTCAAGAATATAAAGAGAAAACAATAATGGCTGTTGAAGAAGTAGATCTTACACAGATTTGAGTGCTTTGCCTGTCAGAACTAGGAGTTCTCCAATTGTTCGATCTAATTTTCAGTATTATTTGAGAGTAGTGATAATTGTTGATCAAAATCAATTCTTCATATTAGTTCTCATTATATTTATTCATTTGAATCAAATAAACTGGTTATTGAAAAGAGGTATGGCCTAAGACTTTCTGATATTGGTACTTGTCTAGCTTGATATTTAAGTTTTAATAAGAGGGAGATCGAAGGTAAATTTTTTCGGTATTTTTTTCTCCCATCCTCCTATTTTACTCAAAAGGGCATTTGGATCTCTTTTTAATCTTCAACTTTTGATTTTTAGAGCATTTAAATTACTATTGATATAGAAAAAAAAACCAATGTTTAATCTCCTACGTTGTAGCTGGGTTAAAACCCCAAAAAAAAATAAAAATAAAATAAAACAAAAAAAACCTACTGCTTTTAAGCTTAAGCAAATATGTTACATATGCTAGTCTAATACTCTTAGAATAGTATTCTATAAACAACAACATAATAATAGTTCCATTTTATCAATTATATGCGTATTTATTTTGAGTTATTAACTAAGTCTCCATAATCATAGAAAATGTTGCAAATTGTAGACTTAATGGGTCGAGTATGATTTGATACATATCGATCCCAATTGAAAGATAAAGTTGAATGTTTTATCTTGATAAGATTGTATTATCTTATTGAAATTTGTCTAGATCCGAGAAATAAATACAATGATATGTTTAATGCACATAGATGGCTTCTTCGTAACTGCTATGAATAAGACTACTCTATGAAAGAATGAGTCGTCGACCATCTTGAGCGAGTAATGTACCCTTAATTTCTAGCTCAAATTCTTTTGGGGTGCCATGAGTGAGATCTTGTTTGGAATATCGATCTTGGTACTTGGAGAATCTGGATGGAACAATTTTTGATCATATATTTGCAAGCTGAAATTCGTTAATCATTTAATTGAGAAGATCATCACTCCGAGACATTTTCTACATACACTCAAGTGTGTGTGCTATTGTGCGTCTCTTGATTTTCTCTCTCCATCTGATCTTCATCTCTGGAACCTTTAGTGAATTTTAAGAATTAATCTATTTGTACCAAGTTTGTTGACAAAGATAGATGACAAAATTAGGTGTACGGTTTGGATGAATTGTAATTAACGGATGAGATTGAATTGTCCATTATCT